TTTCATTGAAACTATACTTATGCTTGCAACTGCTGGGATGTGGAGATGGGGTGTGGAGTCACAAGTAAATTCACTCAATACAACTGCTGCATTCTGAGACTGTCTGCATGGCTGGCAGTAATATACCTTGCCTACTCCTCCCTTATTCCTCCACAGGCCATGGATATGCTAGGAAATAGGAGTGCCTGAATATTATGGGGAATGCTTTGTTTTTCTCTTAAGACAGAAACCATAATTTGTTGAATGATAAAGTACAAGTTGTAGAAACAGGAAAGAAGAAATTAAAATGAATCTCAAAAAAATCCAATAATCCACACAGCTGTCTAAGGTGGTTTGGAATTTGATGTAGACAAATGGCTAGGCTTTTAGCTTTCAAGTCAGTTTTGAATTAAACCAAATGTCCTAAATTTGAGGATTTTCCATGTTCAACAAGTTTTGGTTGTGTTATTTCCCCACAATGAAAATGTAATTTTCTAGTTCTAGGAAAGTAGTCATTTTATTTAATGTTAGGATTAACAACTATAGATGGAAAAATATAGTCACAAAATGATTTGGTTTTTTATTGAAGGACTTGTGTGCATTCAAAACACATTCATATCAATTGCAGATAGCTTCAAGATGCCAGAAAAACACCAGCTGGGGGAAAAATGTAGTGGATAGCTACTCCTTTCCATTCCTTCTTAAGCTTAACTTCAAATTGCTCCAGAAACTATTTTGTAAACTTTGGGAAAAGAGTATACTTCTCAAGGAATTTTAGCTTAGTGACTGCTCTGTCTTTGGATGTCTTTAATCCCGCTTTCAGTCACTTGGTATGCCTTATAGACTCTTGAACCCTGCCCCCCTCCCTCCATCTTTCCCATAGTGAGTCTCATTTTCTGAGACAGTGGAGTTAAAAGTTAGTGTACAAATGCTTGAGGATGCCCTTTTCGTACCCAGGTGTGATGTAGAATTGCCCATCTCACCATGCTTGGATATTGCAGGATCTGAATTGTAACTTTTGTTTCTCCTATCCCAGCAACATTGCCATTAGGGATATGGGGGAGGATCCAGTAATGGTTTTTACTTCTGTTAATACACATAATTTCTCTGCTTCCCCATAAAGGTGTCCTTACATTTCTCCTGAGGTGAATTTATATGTGACCCTTTACTAGTAATTACACAACTACAAAATGTGATTGCTAGTAGAAAGGATAAGCCTGGTGGAGAGAGGTAAATGTAATAAAACTTTCCCCCTTACGTTGAATAAAATGTATTGCTAATTAATTTCTGAAATCTGAAAGAAATTCTAACTTAAGATGCTGGAAACTATGCATAATGTTGGCTGCAAAATGTCCACATTTATTGAGGCTTAGTGTCAGGAAAAACTTCCTAGTGTTAGAGCTATCTAGGATGGAAAAGGATGGAAGTAGTGAGCTTCCTTTCATTAGAATTCTCCAAGCATAGGTCATATGACCACTTGTTGGGTACAGTGTAGTGAAGATTCCTTTTTCAGGCAAGGATTGGGGCCACTGATAACCACCTGATGGCCCCTTTCACTTACAACTAGGAAATTCTGAGATAGGTGGTTCACTTTTCAGTTCAACAAACATTGGTCACCTAGGGTGTACAAAGTATTGTGTTCAGGACTGGGGAGTCAGGGGTAGGTATGAAACAGAAGGGGTTTACCATCTAATGGAAGGGAATGAGACATGCACACAAATAACTGTGGTATAAAGGAGACTAAGATGTACAATGCACTTGTATGTGTTAGTTTGGGCCAGTGAGCTAGAATAGGGTGAGGTTCATTTGGTAGAGACATATTTTGACTCATGTCCCTATTCTAATCTCAAACATGTGGGCACTCAGTTCTAGTTACTCAACACACATGCTATTCTCATATGGCCCTCTTGCTTTCCTACTTGTCAAGAAGTACTTATTTCAAGATCCCCAGTGATTAGGACTGGACAACGAAGATGTATTTTATCTTTGCTTTGGTACTATTAAATAATGAAGTTACAAAATACTAGATACAATAACTGAGTTAATCTAACAAGTAAATCTAGTAAAAAGTATGGTTTTTATTTTTGGAGAAATTTTAGAACGATGTATGTTAATGAAGTTTGTGCAACTATCAAAATATAAGGTAGCCATGTGCTCTGGATGTCTTTCAATGCCTTCCCTTTATATGTATCACTGATACTCTGTAAACAAAAGGATCAAAAAACAAACAACCAAGAAAACTGGTAGAGAGAGAGGATAGAGTAAGTTCCTCATTCTATCAGATTCCCAGGGTCCTCTGTTCTTTCACCTCTGTCCATTAATTGAAAGCAGCAAAAGAGCAGTTCCTGTGTATCTGCTAAAGGCAGAGTAATATATAAATTATAACAATATAACAAGTCTATTAGATAATTTTGGTGACAAAACATTAAAAACAATTATGTGAGATTGTTACAGTTTCTTTACCTATAAAATGGAGATAAACTCTTCTTTTCCTGCATCACAGAATAGTTGGGAGGCTCAAATTAGAATGTGAAAACACTGTATAAGCTTAAAGTGCTATAATAATGTGAGTTTATTTCTCCCCTCCCCATTTCTCAAAAGATCATTGCAACAGTCTTCAGACATATGGTCTAGGTGTAAGAGGCAGAACTGGTGACGGGTTTTTTTTTTGTTTGTTTTTGCCCCAACTTACATTATTGTTGTATGTGTTAGACTGAATGAACAGAGTTGGTTAGTGTTTGATGTAACCTAAAGGATAAGACAATGTCAGACTATAATTAATGTATTTTTTTATTTCATAACCGTACTTTCTGATTCACCTAGTGAATTGTTGGTCCTCAAAGGAAACAAGGGGATTCTTTTGCTTTAATTTCCCATGAAAACTGAACATTAGCCAGTCTCCCTGGGTAGTTTTACACAGTCTATTGTTGAACATTAGTTGTGGCATATGCTGTCTTTGGTGGTTTTTAACTAGTTGAAAAAGCTTTGGCAGAATGGGACCACTAGCATATTTGCCATTTGGTGTGGTATTTCTATTACTTTGACATTCAGAAATCTAGGCTACACACCTTGTATACATATGGATAATTCAATAAAATAAAAATAATTGCTTGGATTGAACATAGGAGTCTATATCATATAAAATGGCATCCCACATGTAGCAATATTGCCTCATTTGACCTTACAATATCTTTGTGAAATAAGGAGGAATCAATAAACTGGCTTTATTCGAGGTACTCTTCCCATCCATAATTTATTACATTACAAACATAATTTTAAAAATAATATCTCATGTTTTCTTCTCGCACAGTATTTCAAATTCCATTAAACTGTGTGGTACTTCTATATTACCTATGTTGGCAGACACACTCTCTAAATAGTAGACTTTCAGTGTTTGTAATACTGTGTACACCATAAAGGAATTACAAATACTTCCTCATAAGAAACAGGTTTTATCTTTACATTGCTTTGATACAAAATTTTCTCTTGGGGTTTTATCCTAGGCTTTATTAGATTTATGTGGTCCGTGTTTGCTATTGATTACCACACAGTTTATTTTGTGAGAGATGCAAAATTAATTGTTTAAAAATCCATGTAAGTGCTTTTTTATTAGTCACATGGGACTGCCTACAGTGCAATGTTAAACTTAGTTCTTTTACTGTTAAATGTAACTAAAATTTTAAATAATTGAAGGTTTTTTTTATAAGTTCAGTATTAAACTATGCTAGAATGCATCAATTCTAAATGGTGCATTGTAGATTTATCATATCAATGAGGAAATGACTGAGTACAATTATATTACTTCTGTATTTGCCTGTCCAATTGATATTGTGAGCTTGTTACTTTACAGCCAATTAGAAAGGTCATTCAGGTTTGTTGTAGTAAAATTCTAGCTCTGTGCTTAGACTAGTGGTAGGGAAGCAAGTTTCAGTAAAGGAAGGTAATGACAAAGTTCAATGCTGATTTGTGAAGATACTGGACTGTGTCCAGGAGACAGTAAATTCCTTGAGGGCAGGGACTGTTTTATGTACTTTTTAAAAATTCCCAATGCCCAGCACAATGTAGGCTCTTAATATGTGCTTATTGAATCTGAATAAAGAATTACTTTTTTTTTGGTATAGAATGTAGTGTTATCTGACTTGCCCACATACCTCTTTGAATTTCAGATAAAATGTAAGAGAAAAATGAGTAATTTCTAAAAGTAGTAATATTTAGGAAAAAACAGGAATATTCTAATTTTCAATGTTTATTTATTTTTAATTTTTTAATTTTTTACTTTTTAGGCAAGTGGGGTTAAGTAACCTGCCCAGGGTCACACAGCTAGTAAGTGTCAAATGTTTGGTCTGAGGCTGGATTTGAATTCAGGTCCTCCCGACTTCAGAGCCGGTGCTCTATCCACTGCACCACCTAGCTGCCCCTCAATATTTATTTTAGAAAAACAACATAAGGGAGCTAGGTGGTTTTTTTCTCTGAGACTAATAATAATCTAGATAATTTCTGTTATGTTTATGTGGGTGCACAAGACAACATTTTGAGGGGAAATCTGTCCTTTATCCATATGACTAGATATATGCTTAATTCCCTGATGGTGTTCAGTTATCTATCTGTACAATAGTATTTTGGTTAATTAGAAAATGCCTTTTGTGTCCAGGACAATTAGCATTCATAGGTATGGGCATCCATCTATATTCCTAGTATTTTATTCAGGGAATTTGTTGTTTTTGGCACAAATCAGGATGCTGGTAAGTTGTGTAATATTATTAAACTGTAGTTAAAACTTTGGGAAAATGTTCAAGATTTATCTTTTGGTTGTCATACTATAAAACAGGTTGAAGCTAATTCTTTTGTGTAATTATTTTACAATCAAAATAGACTTCTTTAACTTTTGGAAGATATTTTTCTAAATAGTGAACTAGATTTCATGCCACTTCTTGCTTATTTAGAGTCTATAAATTTCTGAGGAAATTATGTATACATTGACTTATTCTTTCTTTCCTTTTTTATTTTTATTTTTTTTAAAGGCATCCTGGAATTTATCAGCATAGCAGTAGGTTTGGTCAGCATTCGAGGTGTGGACAGTGGACTATACCTCGGAATGAATGAGAAAGGGGAGCTGTATGGATCAGTAAGTATTCTGAGAGGCATTGCCTATCTGTGTGTCTTATTATTAATCACCTTGCACTACATTTTCTTAAGACTTAAAAATAGCCCAAAATGGGCAAGATATTTGTTCTAAAGAAGAGTTAAAGTGGTTACTTTTACATATGAAGTGGAAAACATTTCACTGAATTGTAAATGGACATTATTTTTGTATCTACATGATATATATCAAGCAAGCTCTTAAATTCAGGCAAAATGCATCAAACCATCTTCACTACTTCTCTACACTGAAAATCTGCAAGCATGGAAATAATTCTTCATCTAGAATTGAATGGAAGCTATTTTTGAGAGGTATTGAAGCTAACTCTTCTCAAGCATCCCAATGAAAATTGGGTGTGGATGAAAAAGTGAGTTTAAAACCAAATTTCAAACTACAAAAAGTTCTCATTATGCAAGTAGGGAAGGGAAAGTGACCTTAGATCTGTTCTAATTCTCATCCTTGAATAAGAATTTGAGAGTATTGTAATTACTTTTACTGCATGTTTTAACCTCCCTTTTAGATCACAAACTCATAGAGGGCAGGGACTATGTGTTCTGTGCTTTTGTATCTTTCAAGGCTCTTAGCCTAGGAATTAGCAAACAGGAAGTATTCAATAAATATTTTCTGCATGCAAGAATAAATATATAATTTTAGCTAAAATGTTATTCATAATCATAGTTTTATACCATAAATATGAAGGACATTTAGTCCAGATTTAACTGAAAGATAAGAATTTTTATCAGAGCAAATGATACTTTGAAAACACAGAATGTCTAACAATCCTAGGTGGGAAAATCCTTGGGGTATCCAAATCAGAAGAAATGAAAATGACCTTCACATGGTACTTTGGGATACCTCTTTATAAATATGCCACTTCCCTATCTCTCTACCCATCATCATATACAAGATAACAAATATGTATTGAGATGGAAACCTTAGAAGAAATGTGGCCCAAGAACTCCAGATCATAGGAAACAAAAAGTTGAACCTAACATGTTGTTTGGAATGGCATGAGACATTTGACAATCTTGGAAGAAAATTTGAGCTGTGTATTGATTTCTTTAGATGTTTACATGTCCTTGCTAGTGTATATACCTTTAAGTTTTTTTTAATTAAAAAAACCCCAGAATTTACATAAATTAAGAATTAGCTTCACCAGAGGTATAGCATAGGTCAGATTCTGTAGTAATAATTCACATTTGGTCCAGAACTATTATTTCACTATTGCAGGGACAGCCCAGTGATGAAGCTCCCTCTACCAATGCTGAATAGCAACTATTCTACAAGTTATAGTCTGAGTTGCTTGGAATGCTGAGAAGTTAAGTGACTTGTCAGGGGTCAATACCTAGTATGTGTCTGAAGTGGAAGTGGACCTTGAGCCTAAGTCTTCCTGACTCCAAGTCCAGCTTTTTAGCCAGGATGTCATGTCACCTCTCAATTTTGCAATAATGAAAAAAAAAGTACTTTACCTTGTAAAATAACCAACTGTTTTTCCCCCCATGATGAACAAGGATCTTATTAAGTATATCTAGACATTTTATCAGCCTTTCTACTTTTGTAATTTCTCCAGTTCTAGGAAGGTGTGTTAATTTGAGGTATAAATCATTCAGGGGGAAAGTATTTTGTGGTAAATGAGAACTCAGTGTTGTTTTCTGTGTCTATGGTTGTATTTGCTGTTCAGTCATTTTTTAGTTGTGTCTGACTCTTCATAACCCCATTTGGGATTTTCTTGGCAAAGATACTAGAATATCTTCTCCAGTTCATTTACAGATGAGGGAACTGAGGCAAACAGAGTTAAGTGATTTGCCCAGGGTCATACAGCTAGTAAGTGTCTGAGGTCAGATTTTAATTCAGGAAGATGAATCTTCCTGATTCCAGGTCTGACACTTTACCCACTGCACCACTTCGCTTTGTATTTGTACCCTTTTGTTGTAGGGAAGAGTCAGCAGTTTTATGATTGTTCAGCTCTGTATTAAGTTGGTGCTGAAAGTTTAGAAAACAGCAGTTTTTGGAACTCATGGTGTAGCAGGGTTAAATAATTGACAGATTTCAGAGTACAGATATAATTTTGATTGAAGAGCACTCCCTTGCTTTTGACAAACTTTCTCTGGGTTTGTTGAAGTGATTTTGTCCAATTCTTTCACAAGGCCACAGTGGAAAGCTGCTCAGGCATGGAACCTCCATACAACCTCACATAGGGTGTGTGGTTGGGATGAGTCAAGAGAATGCTGATCTGGTGCATTTCACAGGCATCCACCCTGACCTTCTTAGGCCCGTTTACTGTAAAGGAGCTAGGAGTCATAGGTGCCCCACTCCTGTAGCCAGAGGCTAGTTCCTGGGTGGTAGCCAGCAGATAGTCCCTTCACTAATGTTTAAATCTGGGCAAAGGGGAGAATCTAGAGGAGATGAAAGAGGCCCTTCTTCCTTCTCTGCTTGAGAAAAATGCTTACTTTTTGGGATGATGGGAATGATACCATCTCAGTGGCTGTTCCGAGGAAAATAAGCAGTAGACCATTTTTCCCATTATAATTTTCCTATAGAAAAGCTTTAAAAATTTAGAATCTTTTAGCAGTTTATTCATGTGCTGTATTAAATACATAGGTATGAGACTGGGTATATCTATGTGGGCATGGTCTGAGGACATGTAGTCATGTAGTCAGGAGTCCAAGGGAAGAATCATCCTTGTTTCTTTCCCATGCCCATCTGCTGCAGCTTATGAATATGCTTACAGCATATCACTGGAAAAGATGGTCTCTAATCTATACACACATGCGTGCGCGCACACACACACACACACACAGAGAATGGGTGTATAGGAGTTTTATTAGCAGCTTGAATGTAGAGTAGCAAGTTCAGGGGAGGGAAAGAGGGAAATTGAGTGGGCTAAGTTCCTAAGGAGAGCAAGCTTTTGTCTATTTTGTCATTTGTCTATGCTTAAACCAAAATTAGGAATTCTTAATCTGAGGCCCACGAGCTGTTTTTTTTTTTAAATTTCTGATAACTATATTTCAGTATAATTTATTTCCTTTACAAAGGGAATGTATTTTATTTTATGTAATTAAAAACATTATTCTGAAAAGAAGTCCATCAGTTTCATCAGACTGCCAGAGGGGTCCAGGACACACACAAAAAGGCTAAGAACTCCGGACCTAGATGAAAAAGAGAATATAGGAGAGGGAAAAGGGAATGATCCATTTTACTTGGTGAATGGGAGCCATGATTTTTATGTAGTTGGGTAAAGTCTAGTTCTTTATGTAGTGGGATAGTCTAGCCCATTACGGATGTGAAGAAAGATAAAGAATAAGAAGAACAATCAAGAGATCTAATTTGGATTATGAAAAAGTTGGCAACAGAAAGGAAACAGCAACTACCAAATGATTAAATACATTCAATTCAATAAACAAATGTTTAGTAAGTGCTTACTAAGCAGACCGTGATGCTAGGCCCTGGGAGAGATACTAAGTTTAGATAAGATGTCTCTACAGTTTTGTATGATGATATGACACACAGATAACTATAATATAAAATATAAAATATAAATCATACTTGAGACATGTATAAAAGATGTACAAAGTAAAATGCCACATAAAACCTAACAAGGGAAGGGTTGCTATGAGTTGGAGCAACTGAGGAAAAGGGGAGGAAGTGACTTCAAAGGATGTTTAAGAATTCAACAGGCAAAGAGGGAAAGAGAAAGTGTTCAAGGTATATTGCTTTGACTGGGGGTAGGGCGTAATTAAAATTGGCTGGAACACTGCTCATAGTGGGCAGTAGTATTAGCTACAGTTGATAGAAAAGGTGATTTCAGATTGTGAGAGACTTGCTAAGCTAATTATTTTTAATTTCAGTAGGCAATGGGGACCCACTGAAGATTTTTTTAAATCAAATTTTGTTTTATTAAAAAAAGATGCCTTGTTCTTCCAGCTCCTCTCCCCCTCACCTCCCTCACCTTGGAAAGCAAGAAAGACAAAAACCCTGTTGCAAACATTTGTTTTTTATAAATAAAACAAATTCCCTGACCCAAACAAGGTCTCCATCTGCACTCTGAATCTATTACCTCTTTATCTGGAGGTGAGAGGCATGTTTCATCATGAATCTTCTGGAATTGTGGTTGGTTATTGTGTTGACCAAAGATCCCAGATTTTCACAGTTGTTTTTTATTACAATATTGTTGTTAATGGATAAAATGTTCTCCTGGTTCTGCTCACTTCACTTAGCTTCAGTTCATGAAGTCTTCCCAGGTTTTTCTGGAACCATCCCCTTTGTCATTTCTTACTGCATGATAGTATTCAATCACATTCATATACCATAACTTGTTCAATGTAGATTTTTGAGGAGAAGAATTCTGTTTAAAATCCATGCATAATCCAGATTCATGAATAAAAATAATTAGTCTGGCTGTCATATGAAGGATGGATGCTAGGTTTATGGGGTAGGAGTATTTACGAAGAGAATGGAAGGAGGCTGACTTGATGGAAAGCGATTTCAGTGCTCCAGGTGTATGGTAATGAGGGCCTGACTAGAGTTATGGCAATGGAAATAGGGAAGAGGAGATGGATTCTAGTGATTTGCTGAGCTAGACTTCACATTGACTATAACATTAAAGTTATAGTTTAAATAAAAAACAAACTTGTCTTGACCTCTTCTGAAATGGCACAAGGCTCAGAGAACTAACATTCATGAAGGAAGTAGAATTTCTGGCTACCCTTAAACATTAGAAAAAACCTTGTTGGCATAAAGATTGATTCCATGGTGAGGCAAGGGAAATAAACCATCCCTGGGAATATAATAGTTACTTCTGTAAAGCCAGTTAACTCCTTGAGTACAGAAAATGCAATTTTAAAGAAGTAACCTGGTTTTGTGGATTAACTTTACATTCCCAACCTTCAGTTGTTGTCTCATAATTTACCCTTATATGAGGTGCAGTCTGACCAGTGGACTGGTGGCCTAATAACTTCCCAGAGAGTTAGTGGAGATGCCAGTTC